ATCTCTCCTCCAATAATAAAATTTTTAAAAAATTAAAATCCTTCTCTGTGAGTTCGAGGCCAGCCTGGTCTCCAAAGCGAGTTCCAGGAAAGGCGCAAAGCTACACAGAGGAAACCCTGTCTTGAAAAAAAAAAAAAAAAAAAAAAACTTCAGGAAATTTAGCCAGGATTTTAATTTCAAATAATCGCTTGCTCCTCTCCCTTTCTCTCTGTATTTTTATGTCTTATATAATTATATGGTCATTTTAAATTATTTTTTGCATATAATATATGTAAATTATGGGTTTTTTTACAGTTTATGCATGCGTTTGTGTGCGTGCATGTCACAATGTGAAGATTGGAGCACACCTTAATGGAGTTGGTCTTCTACCACGTGGGCTCACACTTAGGTTGCCAGGTGTAATGGCAATTGCCTTTACCCATCAAACCATCTCACTAATACAGTTTTTAAAATTTAACATTTAGTGTGCTTGTTATAATTGTTAGCTTGCCTAGTACTTTAACCTAATTTTCTAAAGTCTATGTTCTTTTTCATGTGTGGCCAATGAATTCAGTTTAATGTATGCTGATGATTGTATAGAGATAGCTTTGATTTACTTGGGATTTGTGGAGTGTGCCTGTGCCTGTGCGTGCGTGCGTGCGTGCGTGCGTGCATGCGTGCGTTAGGGAACACTTTTAACATTGAGCCAAGTGGTTGACAGCTTGGCCTTAGGCTTCAGTTCTTGCTTGCACAGGGAGAAATGTGAGCTTTCTGATCCTTGTTGGGCATGCATATCACTCTGTACATACACACGACCCACATACTGGTATAGTATTCTAAATTCATAGGAATTTTTCAGAACTTTTCAAAGACATGGACATCTCAGAGCCTACTTTTGTCTTTCAGGTTTTTTTGTTTTTGTTTTTTGTTGTTGTTGTGTGTATTTTTCTCACTGCGTAGGGTACTTCTGAACTTTAATAATTTTAGGCAGTTGTTTTCAACAAAAGCCATAAGTGGAACTGTTTGCATGATTGCCCTGCTTCAAATCAGATGAAATAGGCATCTCTCTGCAAGTGGAGTTTGTTGTTTTTCTTTTTTCTTTTTTCTTTTGGTTTTTCGAGACAGGGTTTTTCTGTGTAGCTTTGGGCCTGTCCTAGATCTCGCTCTGTAGACCAGGCTGGCCTTGAACTCACAGAGATCTACCTGGCTCTGCCACCCAAGTGCTGGGATTAAAGGCGTGCGCCCCTGCCGCCCGGCCTGCAAGTGGACTGTTTAGAACACAACTAGAAATAATGGCAGTTCCCGGGGTGGAAGATGATGTCGTCATCAGGCTGAGCAGGTTTCAGAAGGCCACTTTTCCCCTCCCAGTTCCGTCACTGTCACCCCACTACCCACATTCCACCCACCTTATTTTTTTAGGTTGATTTGTAAAATATTTGTTTTAGCTTTTTTTTTTTTTTTTTTTTTTTTTTTTTTGGCAATAGCAGATTGGACTAGATTTAGTTAAATCATAAAACTTGTTCTAATGAAGCTCTGCCGTTTTTGTGAATAGCCTCTGAAAAATGATGCACGCTTTTGGTCTTTTAATTTTTTTTTTCTTTTTTTTGGAGATTGTCTTGCTGTATAGCTGGTGTTGGTCTAGAGTTTGTCAGTCCTTCCATCTCAGCCTCCTGAGTGCTGGTATCACAGAGCTGTGTGCTACCATGCTTGGCTTTGACTATTTTTCTAGAAGTGTGAAATAGTTGATCTTTATAAACTTTGGGAACTTTTTTTCATTGCTTTTTTTTTTTTTTTTTTTTTTTTTTTTTGGTTTTTCGAGACAGGGTTTCTCTGTGTAGCTTTGCGCCTTTCCTGGGACTCACTTGGTAGCCCAGGCTGGCCTCGAACTCACAGAGATCCGCCTGGCTCTGCCTCCCGAGTGCTGGGATTAAAGGCGTGCGCCACCACCGCCCGGCATTGCTTTTTATAACAGAACTCATATGGATCCCTTAGTTTGGATTTTAAGAAAAGATCTATGTTTTATTTTATGTGTGTGAATGTTTTGCCTGAATGTACTTAGGTCTGTGCACAACATACATGCAGTGAGGAGGCCAGAAGATGGAGTCAGTCTCCTGGTCTGGAGTTACAGACAGTTGTGAGCCATCATGTGGTGCTGGAAACTGAACCCTGGGTTCTCTGCAAAAGCAAACAGTGCTCTTACCCACTGAGCCGTCTCTCCAGCCCCCTCCCCCCTTTTTTAAAACATTTCTTAGTATTTTAAATATGAGATCTTTCCAAGAACGTATATTGTAAAGTTTTATATCAAAAGAGCAAGGAATAGCCTAACTGTCCCAAGGTAAGAAAGCCCCTTTTGGTTCCACCCTCCTGAATGCTTAAGGGAAGTTCCTTGTCTGTGTATCCTGCATAATGGGCATTAACAGCTTAGATGCAAGATTGTAAAACATCGGTAGCAAACTTCTGTCCTCTGGGGTTCTCCCATTGTGCTGTAAGCCTTTATTTAAACTCCTCCCTCCTTCAATAAACGGCATTCGGCATTAAAAAAAATCAAGAAAGAAAGGAAGAAAGGAAACCCCTTTGTCCTGATGGCGCTCAATCTGAACTAGTCTTGATTGCTTAAGATTTTCATTCAGTTATTTGAGACGTTTGGGGCATCAAAGTGATTTTTTGTGTGCAATGTTGTTTTCAGTTTTGACTAATAGTAGGATTGTAGTAGTCTTCCATGTGTGAATACTTGAAACTCCATTAGTTATTCTTGAAGATTGCAGACAGATGGGCCGTTTGGTCCCTTTCCACCGTGGCTCTTTTAAGATTAGGGCCTGCTCTTTTGGATTAGTATTTGAAAATGTTACGGTTCATGCCTGAATACAGAGGCTAAGAAAACGTGTCATATGTTTTATATTAACTAGTATAGTAATTAAATAAAGCTCACACACAAAAATTAAGTTTTTAAAGAAAAAGAAAAAAACCCTTTTGAAAGAAATGATTTGTGTGTGGTGGTGCATACCCATAATCCTAGTTACTACATGGGTGGGCAGGAGGACTACAAGTTTGAGGCTAGCCTGGGCTACATAGCCTGTCTGAAAAAAGGGCTCATCTGTTTATGTATGTCATCAAATATTATGCTAACACTAATAATCACACTTAGAGAATATTTTATTTTATTTATGTTTTAAAATATGGACTGCTTCATGAATTGGATGTCTTCCTTGGGTAGGGTTCATACTAGTCTTCTCTGTAGCATTCCAATTTTAGTATATGTGCTGCCAAAACAGGTCCTTCTGATATTGTCTACTTCAGCACAGGCTGCCTTTGAGCTTACTGTATAGCTGGAAGTGACTTTGAACTTTTGGTACTCTATCTTTTTCTCCCAAATTGTAGATGTGTCCCATCATGGCTAACTTTTTGTGGTTTTGAGACAATCTTATGATCTTATGTGGCCCAGGCTGGCCCAGCATAAGAATATTTTATAATAAAAAAATGTTCATGATATGATACAGGCAAAAACAGAATATGAAAACAGGGCAAAAAAACAAAAATTCAGTATTTTGAGGAATTAAATTTTCCTTTTTGAATCACTTTTTTTAAAGAAATGCATTTTTTTTTTTTTTTTTTTTTTTTTTTTTTTTTTTTTTTTTTTTTTTTTTTTTGGTTTTTCGAGACAGGGTTTCTCTGTGTAGCTTTGCGCCTTTCCTGGAACTCACTTGGTAGCCCAGGCTGGCCTCGAACTCACAGAGATCTGCCTGGCTCTGCCTCCCGAGTGCTGGGATTAAAGGCGTGCGCCACCACCGCCCGGCTAACAAATGCATTTTATTATGACATTTTCATATACATACTTTGTTAATATTTTTTTCATTTTTGCACGTGTGTACACTACCCTGTTATCAAATTTTCCTTTTCGTCAGTGCTGGGAATTGGACTTAGGGCCTCATACATGCTAGGAAAGTGCTCTACCACTGAGCTAAAAAAACAGCCTGCTATCAAATTTAAAAAAAAAAAAAAAAGTCTTAGGGTAGTCTCGGAGTTGACTCAGTGGTTAAGAGCACTTGTGGCCCCTGCAGAGGACCCAGGTTTGATTCCCAACACCCACGAGGTGGCTCAACAATCCATAACCCCAACCCCAGTTCCAGGGGATCACATACCCTCTTCTAACCTCCAAAGTCACTAGACACACATATGGTGCATATTACATACATGCACACAAAACATTCAGTACAAATAAAATAAAACAAATAAATTTTTTAAAAGTAAGCTTTAAGCTAGGTGGTGGTGGTGCATACCTTTAATCCCAGCACTCGGGAGGCAGAGGCAGGCAGATCTCTGTGAGTTTGAGGCCAGCCTGGTCTACAGAGCAATATCCAGGAAAGGCACAAAGCTACACAGAGAAACCCTGTCTCGGAAAACCGGAAAAACAACAACAACAACAACTAATGTTGAGGAAATGTGTGAGAAGTGGCACTGTAAGACCTGGGAATTGAACTCAAGTCATGAGGCTTGGTGGCAAGTGCCTTTTATTAGGGTTGAGGAGTAGAAAAAGAGCATTTGTATAATGAAAAGAATCACTGAAAGGAAAAGACACCAAAATGTCAATGTTATTGTTGATGAGTGAGGACATAATGTTTGTATGATGTCAGTAAAAAGGAAAAATGTATTGTTATTTACTAGAAAACCATATTGTTGTTTTGTTTGCCACAAAAATAATGCTAGCAGAGGATGAGGGCTAGCTTAGCAGTAAAGTGCACATCTGGATGCAGTGGGCCCCATGCTGCATGGAAACAGCAGCCTCAGTATTTGGCACATCTTACCTTTCATTCCTGCAAGTTGAATTTGGGTGATTTAACAAAGACATAAATATTTGCAGAGATACTAACAGAATATTCTAATAACCCTGATACTGTAAATGACTTCTCAGCAGCCTGCTTTTTAGAAAGGAACTTTGCTTCTTTGGGATATAATAGTGTGAACTATTAGGCAAATGAATAACTTGTCTCATTTATTAGCATTATCTTTTTCTTTCTTTTCAGGCACATATTAAATTTCCTATTGACTACCCATATTCACCACCTACCTTCAGATTCTTGACCAAAATGTGGCACCCCAACATTTATGAGGTAAGAGACATCTGTCATAACTTTCTCTGGATTTTTCAGATTAGTTCTTTAAAAAGAGACTAGGGATTTAATAGTCAAGGCCCTGAGTTTGATTTCCACATCACATAAAAAAAGTAGTTTGGGCTGGAGGGTGTAGCTTAGTGGTAGAGCATTTGCTTAGCATGCACAAGGATCCGGTTCAGCCACAACACCACGCCCCCACTCACCTCTGAAATAGACGCTATATCTCAGTAAATTGTGTTTTGCTGTAACCACAGAGAAATATTCATGATTTTGTACTTACTCTGTAGCCTCTGGTTTAATTACTTAAAATCAAGGGTATTTTTATAATATATAGTAATTACATTCCAGTTAAAGATCAAGGCTTTAAGCCTTTGCAGCTCATTGCTAAGATTATAATGCACACGTGTTAACAATTGCATTTTAAAAATTTAGTAAAGTCCTATGAATTTATTTGTGTACCTATCCTCTAACTTTACAGCAAGGGTCACCTGTTGCTATGGGCAGAGCCTCAGCTTTTTGGGGGGATTTACCCTCCTACATTTGGACTGCCTCCTTTCAGAGTTACTACTGAGCACTTGAGACCCTCTTTTGGGATAAATCCAAGGTGAGGTTCTTCTGTTGGACAAGTCAGTGTGCCTGCAGGGAGCATTTCTAGAGAACTGTTGGTTGAAACCTGAAGAAACATACTTACTTAGCTTTGGGCAAAATGATGACACTGTTGGAGTAATGTATTAGCCTAGTAGAGCAGCCTTTTTATTTTCCCACAGTTGCCTTTCCTTTTTTGTTACGTTTGTCTGAGGCCAGCCCTCATAGTGTATCGTAGTCTGGCTTCCAAGTTGTAGTCCTTGGAGCCTCACAAGTGGGGTTCCAGACAGCCACAGTTTTTGGTTTTTGTTTTTTTCAAAAAGGACAGACATGATGAAAAGGTGATATGTGCTGTCCTTTCCAGAAATAGCCTCCTGCAATATTTTCTGTTAGAATTAACATAATCATAATGTAACGGGACAGCAGTGGGGCCGGCCAGATGGATGGCTCAGTGAGTAAAGCCACCAAGCCCGACAGCTGGAGTTTAATTTCTAGAACCCACAGGCTGGAGGGGAGAAGTGACTCTTCAGAGTTGTCCTCTGACCTCAACACATACCATGGACACTTTCATCCCCCACCTCCAGTAAATACATACATGTTTAAAAACCCCAAAAAACAAAAGATGGAGTTGGCATTGTAGCACATGCCTTTAATCTCAGGCAGAGGACAGCCAGGGCTACACAGAGAAACTTTGATTATAGTTTGCTAAATACTGTTATCACCCAAAAGGATGTACACTTTACTCTAGTATTTGTGAATTTAATTATTTAAAAAATACCATGTCTGTGAAATTAATAAAGATGAAGTTGAGAAAGTGGCACACACCTTTAATCCCAGCACCCAGGAGCCAGAGGCAAACAGATCTCTGTGAGTTCAATACCAGCCTGGTCTAAGGCGTGAGTTCCAAACAGCCAGACAGCCAGGACTTTACACAGAGAAACCCTGCTGAAAAACCAAAAAAAAAAAAAAAAAACTTTTACGGAGTGATAATGCTTTTGCAGAGTTCCTGTCTTTTCTGTGAGGCTCTCACAACCTATTGTAACCCCAGCTCCTGGGATCTGACACATCTCGCCTCTGCAGGCATCTACCCACCCCACATACACACAATTAAAAATAAACCTTTACATAAAAAGCCAATTGAATATGGATTTGCCATCAGCGATTGTATAGTCTGCAGCAGGGTGTGGTGATGCTCACCGTCATCCCAGCAGCTGGAAGGCAGAGGCAGGTAGATCTCTGTGCATTTGAAGCTAGCCTGGTCTACATAGAGAGTTCTAGACCAGATAGGGCTACGTGGTGAGACCTTATCTTTTTATTAAGTAGTTTTCTGGTTACATGTTTTAGTGCACTCAGAAGTGCACAACTGGATCCTGTGCCTTCATAAACACTATTGTTTTCATACCAACGATTACAAACCTTACAGATAGGATGACCCAAGTGAAACATTGCTGTTCATGATCTCCCCCACCAAATTTAACGTATATGGGAGAGCCTGGTGTCATGGCACATACTGTAGTCTAGCCCAGAGAGGCTGAGCCCAGGAACTAAAGGCCAGCCTGGGCTACAACAAACCAGGCATATGCTATATTGATAGTGCTTATAGATAATTTGCAGGAAATATATTTGAATCCTGGAACTGGCAGAATACTTTTGCTTACTTTTCCATTTCCTGTACTTTTTCACGGCTTTCCTTCCCTTGCGTCCGTCCCACCTGCTGACGGGTTCAGTGTTGCCGGTGTTGGAGTTGAACGCTCTCTTGCTTGTAGAGTGCAGCCCGGCACTGTGCCCAGCCTCTGCTGTGTTTGGTGATAAGCCGTGGTTAGGTAGTGGACTTGGCGGCAGCAGCAGCTTGGGGAGTGAAGCAGGTGGAAGCGCATGTCTGTCGATTGTTTCTTTTCATTTCATTGCTTTAATTACACTGAGTTACTTTCTTACTACCTAGTAGACTGAATTATCTCTTTTGTAGAGCTTCTTTCTCTGAATGTTAACTTTAATAATTTATCCTAATTAGGAATCAACTGGCAAAGCTAAGGATAATACATTAGGATTTATATTGCACAGATTTTATATATATTGCATGCAGTCTTATAATCTTTCAAACTAGAGAAATAGTTTAATATCTCATTGTTATTAAACTCATGTAAAATTTAAATCCAAAATTTTAAAATTCTAAGGTTTAGCTTAATATATGCTTTGCTTTAATTGTCCCAGTGTTTCAGGCATATTAAAAACCATTTAGATCAACTTTTTAAATGAATTTTTTGAAGCAACTTTAGACTTTTTTAAAAACTTGCATGGGGCTGGAGAGACGGCCCAGTGGTTAAAGAGCACTGGATGCTCTTGCAGAAGGTCCAGGTTTAGTTCTCAGCACCACATGGTGGCCACAGCCATCCATAGCTCCAATTGCAGAGAGTTCAGTGCCCTCTTCTGACACCTGGGGACACTAGGCACATACGTGGTGCACAGACATACATGCAGTTAAACACTCTTAGAATAAGAAAACTTCACGGCTAAAGAAAGGTTACAAAAACAGTTCCTACTTCGGTCATTTTGAGGCAGGGTCTCACTCCTGCCCTGGGTAGCCAGACTCTTGATTCTCCTGCTCTACCCTTCCCAGTGGTGGGTTTAAAGGTGTGGACCACCACTCCTTGTTCCCATATGTTCTTTCCGTTCGGGTGTTTTGGTTTGGGGAGAGTGGGGTTGAGATAGGTCTCAGTAGCCCAGGTTATGATCCTGTAGCTTCTGCCTGTTTCTGTTTTCCAGATCTTGGGAATTTATAGATGAGAGCCACTGCACTCAGCTTTGGCTCTGTGTCTTTATTTTATTTTTATGTTTTATTTTGTTTATGGATTTCTTCCTGAAAGGATGTCTGTGCACCACATACATGCAGTGCCTGTGGAGGCCAGAAGAACGGGGTTAGATCCCTTGGAACTGGAGGTACATATGGTTGTGAGCTCCTGTGTGTACTGATAATTGAACCTGGGTCCTCTGAAAGAGCAACCAGTGCTTAATCAATGAGCCGTCTCTGCAGTCCCTGGTTCTTTGTTTGTTGAGACTGGCTGTTAAAAGAACTCACTATAGAACCTTAATGCTGTTTTCAAACTTCTTCTTATCATGCTTCCGCCTGTACATTCCCGCATGCATGCATGCATACATACATACATACATACATACGTGTATACATGCATACATATAACATATGGAAACAGGCTCTTATTATGTACTAGGTAGCTTCCATTTCAGGGCAGTCCTGCTTCCGCATCCCCAATGATTGGATTATATTCCTGTGTCTTATTCCTGCCCCATTTGAAATCACAGGAAACACTGTGCTTCAAACACTGTGCTTCAACTTTGTAACCTTAGTTCAGGGAAAAATGCTGAGTGCTGTGTTAAGATTTTGTTATCAGTGTTAACCGTGTTTCTCTCTCTCTCTCTCTCTCTCTCTGGTTTTCAAGACAGGGTTTCTCTGTGTGTCGGTCTTTCTGCCTCTGCCTTCCTAGTGCTGGATTAGGTGTGGGCCACCACCACCCACTGTTCATTTTTCTTAAAAACTTCTGGAGCGCAAACCTAGGGCTATGGGCAGACTAGACCAGTGTTCTCCCTCTCCAGCTCTGGTCAGCACTCTTTACTTTTTAACTGTGTATCCCATGGGCCTTCATGTTGCCAATCAGTTGCTTTTTTTTTTTTTGGTGTTTGGAGACAGGGTTTCTCTGTGTAGCTTTGGAGCCTGTCCTGGAACTCACTCTGTAGCCCAGGCTGGCCTCGAACTCACAGATCTACCTGCCTCTGCCTCCCGAGTGCTGGGATTAAAGGCCTGCGCCACCAGCGCCCGGCTCAGTTGCTTTTCTTACTGTTGTGAAGAAAATACCTCACAGAACAGCTTCCTATGGAAGAGAAGGTTTATTTTGATTCCCTTTGAGGGAGAGTTACAGCCTCGGGGGCTTAAAACAGTTGATCACAAGCCCAGAGAGAAAGGTTTTAGGGCTCTCTGCTTTTTTTTTTTTCCAAGACAGGGTTTCTCTGTGTCAGCCAGGCTGGCCTTGAACTCACATAGGTCATCCCCCTGCCTCTGCCTCCTGAGTGCTGGGGTTAAAGGTGTGCGCCACCAGGCCTGGCCACTCTCTGCTTTTCTTTGTTTGTTTGTTTGTTTTTGTTTTTTTCTAGAATGATACTGCCTATGTTAAAGTAGATCTTCTCAAATTAGATAATCCCTCACAGACATGACCAGAAAATTTATTCCTATTGAGATTCTAATCAGATTCCATCAAATTGACAATTAAGATTAATCATCACACCAATCATAGATTTATAATTTCCATAACTTCTTTGAAACAGTTTTATTAAAGATAGTTTTCACATAGACTTAGGCATGAAAGAGAAGAGAGACACTTAGAAAAGACAACCAGGAGCAT